AAGTTGCCATCCTCTGAGCCCACCTCCGCGGAGGAAAAGCGGAGGGAGACTGAGATAACAGGCCAGGGATGCTGTCTTGGAGCCTTAAGGACAAGCGATTGAACAGGAGTGGCTTGAACTAGCTCACCGAGGAGGGATGGTCGGGGGTAAGACCGTCATCCTGAACATCTCTCCCACCGTGAACATTTCCAACCGGGGTGCACTGCAATGAGATGGCCCCAGTTCGAATTCTTCCTCCTCCCTGAATTGATCTAGTTACCTTCCTCGTCCCCCTGTTCTCTTTCTGGAGGACAGACCCTCTGTAAGGTACCTGACCGGGGTAGAATCCGATCCGAGCGGGGACCTGACCAATGGCGACTCGTGTTCGGGAGTCATCGGGAGGAAGCCGGGTAAGAAAATCTGTTGGAGACCTTCTACAACTCCCTGGCGGGTAGCCAGCTCCATCCATGAGTTCATTCTCGATTATATCTGGCTCCTCTTGGCACAGATCCGTGGTCATGAAGTAAGTGTGGCTTCGAGTGCCCATCTGGTCGGTGGACCAGGGCCTGCTGTCCCTGGGGAGAGCTGCACCTGAGGAGGGAAGAATAAACTGGAAAGAACGGTGAGGAGGGGGCTGGGGGCACCAAGGGAGACCCCCTGGATCGCCTGAGGAATTCCCTCTCCAATGCTTATGATGCCTTAAGGCGTCTCATACAGTCATCGTGCTTATGTATTACATTGCAGTGCTTTAGAACTCTCTGTGAGCAGTTGACAGAGTTAGCATATTGCCCTCAACAATCTGGGTCCTCCCTCTGCCCATCTTGGGAGGATGGGTCAGTCTCGAGCCCAGTGGACCCCGAGCTGCCAAGCTGCAGGCAGCTGGCTGTAGAGTAGCTTTGGAGTGTTGCCCTGACATCACTGTGTCACTGGGGCTCCTCAGAGGCCTTTGAAGTTTCCTTAGCCTGGCTGCGCAAAAGGTGAGACTTACTTGGCCCTCAAGGGGGGCCTTAGTTGTCATCTGCCATTTTAAAAGGTAAAGATCATACAGAAGAATAATAGAGGCGGTTGGCTCGCCTAGGATTCAGCCTATAACAGAAGGCTGGGTATCCTTTTGGCTGGTCCGCATCCCCCTTTTGGAATTTGATGTAA